ATTGGATACGATAGCAATATCTCTTAATCAAAATAATGTATAAATGATTAATTCAGGATTTTTGTCGCTGTGATATAAAACAAAATACACAAAACCCGTCGATGATTTATCTGTTTGAAGGGGTATCCTGCAACATCACAATTACGCCCGTCACCTCAAATAGACTTTGTTATAGTATATCAATCCGTTACCGAGATAAACCGATTTCGTCCGCATGATATCAACTGTTTTCTGTCACACACTATAAATAATGCCATGGTCTGTGATATCTTCGATACTCCGGGGTTACGCTCACCTGCGCTATCTGCACTCGTGTAATATGTCATGACAATATCGAAGGCTCAGTGTGTGCCACCTTGTGGATGAGAGAATGATAATAGTTTGATCCTTTGATGTACATCAAAAGAATCTCGCGGTCGCTTAACGGAAAAATAGTTCAACGACCCGTTGGGGAGTGTCTGGTGGAAATATATCTCTGAACTGAATCATGGACAGCATTGTGACAACATTTTGTGTTGTTGATAAATGATTTACATGTTTTCCTTTTAAGCAATGATGATGGTATAGTGTCGTCCAACCAAGTACTATTTTGTGGACAAACATGGATAGTATGACAATTCTTATTATGACGTTGAAGGTTATGCGTGATGTTTAAATATTCATAAATGGAATAAAGTTCTTTTCGCCTCTTCTGCTGTGCGTATAACGTCGACACCTTAATGGGTAATTGCGATATGGTAAAGAGATCTCCAAAAACATTTGACAGAGCAGATGAAGGCTGTAGAGTGGTGGCGGAAATGTTCTGGAAGGTAACGCCATTGTCTTGACAGCAAAACATCAGTATCCTATGTAAGTCGCTTACAAACACAGAGATGATTTTGTTCTAATAATGTTTATATAACAAATAAATAGTTTTACAACACTCGTGAATCCAGTTCCTACTTATATTTTTTCTATTATAGATATAACCATTATCTAAAAAAAGAAAAAATGGAAAACAAACAATAATGTATGTCTTCATAAGGTAGAACCTGAATGTAGGTAATTGAATTGTTGTACCTGTTGTAAGATCGTCTCATACCAGGTTCGACTTTTCCTTCTTGAGCGCGATCAGAACCATCGGCCTTTTTACCCTTCTCTAGATTTTTAACGTCGACTCCTGCGTCCTTTAGGAAGCGTTTGGTTTGCTGGATCAGAAGCCACATCAGAACAACAAGTCTGGATATTGGCGCCATACAGAAAGCATATCCGACCTAGCCCGGATCTTTTATTCCGTATATCATAGTTACCGAGAATACCACTCCACCTGTAATGACCCTTATTAAATTCTCCTGTTGCATTTCTTTAAACTGCTATAAAGTATGGAATAAATTAATATTGTCTCTAGTAGCAAACACGTATAATGAATTCCATCTGACCACATTTAGACGACTGTGCTACACTGATGTATATAAAAGAAGTAATGACAATCCAGATAGTATTTCACGTTCGGTATTTTATTAGCTGTTTAATATGGATTGTTTTTATGAAAATGCAGACTACAACAAAACCGCTTATGTCTTGAATAGTGATTTAGATGTATGATTATAAATCAGTTTTTTTTAGTAAGAATGATGCTGATTATAGATTGTTTTTGTTTTCGACAGATGATAAAAATAGCAACAAAATAACTAATATCATGAAAAGTGATTCAGAAATTTGAATAGAAATGAATGACAGTAACTAAGAATGTAGCTGATTATAGAATTAAGATGAAAACACTCACATGATAAAAAATTAGTGATGACTTTCATGTGATAGCACACACAATGACAGGAATCATTTGTCCGCACCGTAGTACACACAAGCAGGGTGTCAAACACTGCCATCGTAAACTGTCCTACCGTGGTTAAAACAAACATTGAATAGGCCGCCTTCAATGCATACACTGAAAAAGACAATATGTGTCATAATGTATGAGTGTTTCAACAGCACGTCTAAAAAGCGTTTCCCAGAGAGCCGTCTCTTCAGTATAGAAACAGGTAGAAGTCACAGGAACTCAGACCTGGTGAATAAGGTGGGTGGTCAATCTGTTCTACCTTCTCTTTCTTCAAAAACGCCTGTATAATATTGCTTTTGTTGGGTGAACACATTGTCCTGAATTAGCTTGATGATATTTAACCCTTTGCTTTTTTATCTAAATTCTTTTGTAAAACTTCAGTATTTTGTCTCTGTAAAACTTTGTAGCGATACGTCTCCCTTCCCTGCTCGGTATCCGAACCACATGCCAACTAGACGTGATGTTGGATGCCCAAATGCTTAAAATTGTAAAAGATAAACTAACATACACAAAAACACACAGGTGATTGCGCCTTTAAAAGTCTGGTTAAAGATACAGTATATCATTAGTGATGCTAGCGGATAAACTAGTTTCCATTGACAAACAATGAGAAGCAGTGAGATACTATCAAGAAAGGGTAATTTCAAGGCAGTAAAATTGAAGCTGTCACGGTGTTCGTACAGCTAAGTGGTAAGCCGTCAATGTTGGTCACGTTACTAGAAAGGACCGAGGTAATTGTTTCAGGTTTAGGTGTCGGCAGTGTCCTTGATTTTAATTTCAATATAGTTTATATGACCGACGGAGTCAAAACTAACATGTCTTTGTTTAACACAATATGATACATGTTTGATATAAATGAAAATATATTGTAAATATTAAATCATACCCTACACTTGTTGAAGTAAGAAAATAAATGCAATAGTATCTCCCTACCCTCATTATTTTGATCCCCTACCCTCATTATTTTGATCCCCTACCCTCATTATTTTGATCTCCTACCCTCATTATTTTGATCCCCTACCCTCAATATTTTGATATCTATTCTGATAGTTCTGTATACATTCTGAATCAAGAACTTTCATAAGTCGAAATTGATCCATTGTATACTAATCGAAGGAAATGTGTTTTTTAATATAAATACAAGTATGAATCACGCTATATATATATCGAATATATCGATGACATTAAGGGGAAAATATGCGTTTAATAAAAACTTATTTATTTATTTACTTATTTTTATGTAATATGCATTGCCATTTGGTGTTTACGGGAAGCCATTGTTGGCGTCACGTCAACAATACAACGAGGTCACGTCATCAATCCATCAACATCATGTCAATCTTTAATTAAGCCTGTAACGTTAACATTACCTTATGCAAATGATACACAATGGGTAAACAGGGCAAGAGAAAAAGAATCAGTCACCCCCTTGAGGGTGAGATAGGGAATTTCAACCCTTGGGGAAAGATTCTTAGGTTAAGCAACTTAGAAATCTTCCCCCTCGGGTTCAGATTCCCCTATCTCGCTACCAAGGAATTAAGAGATTATTTTACTCCATGGCGGATGCTACGTCAGGTAAAGGAAACTATCGCTCTTCCGGAAAATCTTATTGCGTTTACATTTCCCATGTTTGGTGAATTCATAGTGTCTTTTTGCTTGTTTTGTGGTCTCTGTCCCTGGTTTCTGTTATATATCTGCGGCTCCTGCTGTCATCTACTCGGCTCCAGTTGCTGTCTTTTCGGTTGATGCTGCTGCCTCTTCAGTTCCTTCTGAATTCCCGTCGGTTTCTGCTGTTATCCTCTTAATGGTTATGCTATCCTGTTATTGTTTTGTTACAATAACTACCTCTACTTCTCTAAAATATAATGTACATATTACTAATAAAAAAAGGTAAATCTAAAACGTTTTTTAATTTTAATGCTTGGGGGTTTTCTGTGAAAAAAATAATCTATTAGTATATTATGTTATACTATATACAATGATTGTGAATCAGTTCGATTTAACACGCATCCATTTTCTTATACAATGTTTTTCATCTTTGATCAGATATACGATTGTAAGTGTCTTTACATTTGAGTTAAGATATTGGTTCCCCATTGAATACCTTATATCTTTCACGAGTAGGGCAGATTATCGATATTTCGCGAAGCATGAATGAAAGTTTATTGGTATTAACCGGGAAAACCATTTCTTAAATTATTTAAAGAAAACGACACGCTGCATGCAAAAAAACATGTTGTCAATTACGTAAGCATGTGAATAACGTAGTGTATGTACTTATAATGTACAAAAAATACACTTGTAACCTCCTATTCTACCATCGTTCCATCTTCTGTGTAACAGAAAATCTGAGGCAGTAAATAGTAAATGTGGTATAAGTGGTTCTGATAGGTCGATCATCATATGGGCAGATATTTATAGATTATCACGCTGTATTTTCAGGGTTTGTCGCGAGAACAATTTTCCCATCGCGTGCACGTGGATAAAATCGAGAGACCACCGCAGGTGGACTCGAGATTTTATCTACGTGCGAGCGATGGGAACGACAAACACTGGAAATACTGTATGATAAACTATTTATCATCTATATACTACTACCTTATATATTTGTCCATTTAAAAACATGTTTTCCAAATGACTTCTAAGCTCAATGATCAACTATATCGCCTGTGACAAACGTAAACAAATAGAAGTTTTGCGCGGAGGAATACAATGAACATTAAAACTACGTAAAAAAATATATTTTTAAAACATTCCTATCGTCATTGGCTTTTTCATATGCGCATTTAAACCTTAAATGGTGTTGATATTCTCACAATATTTTCCCGCAACTCTGTATTGATATGTAGATGACGGACTATTTTCTTACGCGGATCACTTTTGTGTGGACACTATTCCCTGTTTCGGACGTCATCTGGCGCAAGCAGACGTTCTTTTTTGAGAAAATACGTCCCCAAGTGATGGGGAATGGGGAAATCCGTTCTCAAGTTTTCTCAAGTTGTTCTCAAGTCGGTCTCAACTTCTTCTCATACCGACAACCAATGATAATGAATATATCATGCTACCGGTAGGTGGTATTAAGTAATAAAAAGATGATAAAACCATTTACCATATCCTCATAAGTTTTTTTATCACTCTTATAATTTCTGATATTTTTAGTGGTAAAAACGTAATAAATATATAATATGATCCAACTAAGAACAATGTATATATGATTTACTGTCATAATCAAAACTTTTCGGCACCGCTACGATCATCAAGTAGTTATACATCCATAAATAAAAAGACTAGGTAATATATACAAGTATATAAATATATTTGTTTTAATCATATTACATAAATTTTGAAAAAAAACACCTTTATATATGTTATAAAAGTAATATCAGGTGACCGTACAATAGGCATCATTTGATAATTGCCAATGGATTAATACAATGTTAAAAATATAAGTATGAATACACGATTCCTCATATACTATGTACATGTCTTCCGAGGATGTTTATTGATGTATACACAATATGACAAGGCACCCCTTCAACAAATGTTCGTGTCCGATTGAAAACTATATATAAATATCCGATTTTAGTACTTTAGAATTATGTCAAAGTGCAATATTTTTTCTCGATTCTTTTTTGTCGTCACTTTAACTTGATGTGTTCTAATATGAATCATTGTGTTTATCGGCGCCGTACCAGTAACGTCATGCTACCACAATTGGTACAATTTTGGGATTTTTCATTGATATTTAAAACTCCAGATCTCTAACTGGAAAGTTTCTTGATTCTTGGTAAAGGCTGCCCATGGCGGTTCATTTTCAGAAAAAGAAAGGAATTTGTTTTTAAAGATCGAATCCTTAATTTTGAGTGACTTTTCGTCCGTTTTGAGGTTTCGTCGACGTTCGTCATTATTTCTGGTTTTCTGAGATGATTAAATTGAAGTCACAGTGTACTCTTAAAATGTCGCTGCCCGGGTACCAATTAGGGTAGCGTGATGTTAGTCTGTGTTTGGCACCACGAATAACCACCTCAAATGGTTCATATGTAAGGGTTATCTCCCTTATGAATTTTAATTGGAGTATAATTGAATAATGTATAAAAAACTTGAGTTTTATCAGGACATGCATTCCTATATATCTATCAATTTATTAAACCAAGTCCTAAATACAATCCTTCAGACATGTATCCAGTTTTTCGTCGAGCTACTTCGAAAATGACGAAGATTGCCATAGTTAGTAACATAGCATATGACTGTAAGTGACCAAATGTTTATAATTGTTGTATTTATCGTCACAAAATGCGGTCGTCTGTTTCTTCATTATTCAAAATTAGAACCGTCGGCCTTTTTACCCGCCTCTAGATTTTTTACGTTGACCCCTGCGTCCTTGAGGAAGCGTTTGGTTTGCTGCGTCAGAAGCCACATCAGGGCGTTAATAAGAGCAAAGAAGCCGGATATGAGAGCCATCCAGAAGGAATATCCGACCTTGTCCGGATCCTTTATCCCGTATATCATAGTTCCCAGGAATACCAGTCCACCTGTAGATGATATGACATTTTGTTATTTTGTAGTAACCTTTTTTTAAAGTGTTCCTCTATCAAAATATAAAAGGTTGTTACTTCTTTTAATTGCTATGAAATATTGATGAAAAAGAACAGGAAAACCATATACATTCGTATGATATGCTGACATTTGATCTGTCTGGTACCTTTACCGCGATTTTGGCGTCAAAAGTATTTCATACGGCGATCAATTCATCAGCACACAAAACAAATTAATAACCAGAACTTTCAATATTGTATTTGTTGTTGAATATGTTGTGTTCATGATATTTATAACTTCATCTATGTACAACGCCAAACATGTTGTTTTTAAAGCACGGGCTACATTACAGGCTGATACATTCAAATGTATCCTTACTGGTGCCAGAGGCTACAGAAAATGAAACGACAGTTTAGTCATCTATAGCATTTCCCCCTAACAATTAAATATATCAAATGGTTTTATCACATATAACATGTACTGTGTTATCCAGTGAAAATATACGCATGTCATATATTTTTGCGTATTAACCCATGTAATATGACCTATCAGCCCTCTGATTGATTGAATGTTTCAATTGCTTCAATTGGGAGGTCACGCCTAGGACAAGTACATGACGTCATAGACTTACGCACCGGAGTCAAAATGGCGGCTTTTTACATTTCAAGGTTGCATGAAAATTGTCGTTTTACACGAATAAATGCCACAAATCATGAGTATGTGTCTTACACTCGTTTTCATTTCATATGAAAGTTATGAAACTCATCACGAATTTTTCATTTAAGCTCGCCAGAGGCTCGCTAAATTGAAAAAGTCTTAAGACTCGTTTCATAAATCTCATATGAAATGGAAACTCATGTAAGATTCTATATATATAACTCAAGAAAAATTATGAGATGCAGAAATTTATTACAAATGGCTAAGATGAAAAGTATACCATAGTACATTATAACGAATATAAACATTCATTATAGATTTACAATATATATATATACATAGCACTAAGTGTAGATTTGTTATGGAGCTTATGGAAAGAAGAAATAAATCATAACAAGTAGGTTATACTCTAGACTGCTAAATACATTGTAGTATGCATTTTCCAGACACCATTAACTGGAAGAATAAAGCACTTTCAAGGTGGAGAAAGTGTGATGACTAACACACAAGGTAGCTGGAACCGTTGGTACGATCAGATAAACGTTATCATACATACACTGTACCCCTGATTCATAGTTGTTTATTTCTATTAACTTTATTTATTTTACAACAATTATAAAACAAGCGTTTTACAACTATTAGTATTCACTCTTGTTGGGCCGCATGTTAGCGAGCGGGGGTTTTAATGTGGGAGGAAACCGGAGTACCCGAAGAAAACCCATGTGGTCGTACAGGTAACAAAATACCTTTCCACGTCCTATCGGGGAACAGAACCCACTGCCGCCTTGGTGAAAGGCAAGCGCGTTATGCACTATGCCATCCGACCACCCATACATAGCCTCTATACCAGGGGGCTGAGGTTTCCGGCGGGTTACTTATTGGGAGTTCGTTATTCCAATAACTAAACCGCTACCGGCAGAGTTAAATTTATTTAAATGAGTCACTTGTTATAATTAACATGTTGATAGTAAGAGGTTGTTTTCCGGGAGGTTATATTAATTGGTTATTAAAAATCTTGAAGAAGGATTCCGCTGATGTCAGCTGTTTATTTAACCAAATAACTAAACCGCTGCCAATTTCAGCTCTTTCAAATAGTGTAGTCATTCAAGGTTACCGAGGGCTGTGTGAAACGTTTTTTAATTTCACGTAATAATGCCATCATTAAATCAACAAGATCCAAATACTACTCATTAACAGTACTTTATAAGCTGTTTAATATGGATTGATTTTATGAAAATGCAGACTACAACAAAACAGCTATGTCCTGATTAGTGCTTTAGAATCGTGAATACTACAAAGATAAAAACAAAATAGAAAGAATGATGATGACTCTAGGACTTTCTGTTTTAGACAGAAGATAAAAATAGCAACAAAACAGCTAATATCATGAAAAGTGATTTTGAAATGAAAAGTCTTCAATGACAGTAACTTAGAATATTGCTGATTATAGAATTAAGATGAAAACACTTACAGGATGTAAAATGAACGATGACTTTCATGTGATAGCACACACAATTACAGGAAACGTTTGTCCGCACCGTAGTACACACGAGTAAGGTGTCAAACACTGCCATCGTAAACTGTCCTATCGTGGTTAAAACAAACATTGAATAGGCCGCCTTCAACGCACACGCTGAAATTAAAGAAAAAAACATGTGCTATAATATTTGTCATTTTACTTTAATATGCCTCAGTGAAGTAAAATTCGTAATGCACTGTTTGACAATATTTACATTTATGTGGAGCATAGTTTGTAAAAGTTCGTCTGTAAAGAAAGAAACAAAAGATTTCTTCAATCTAAAACCTGATGGAAAATTATTCTACTAGTAGCCAAGTTATTTGGCTGAATTCCAAAAATCTCGAATCACCAATGAAAAAAATGAGGATTTCTTTATTAACCAAATGTTGTATTAATCATCAGACATTTGTCACATGTATATCATTTCTTCAAAGCACAATTCATTTGAAATTTGAAATCAATAAAAAAATGTCCTTAAGAGAAAATAATATAATCATATCAAATTTTTAGTAACTCTTATGTTGACATCTGAAATTCAGCAGGTTTTCAATGACAATAGTCATAATATCTCGACATATACCTACCATATTACAGTGATCGGTACGTCACGTACAACTTATTTGTTAAAGTGACGACTTTTATTTCTATATCGTCATATTTTCGTTCCATAAGCTGAAACGTTACTTCCGTGTTAGCTTTTCACAGATGATTAGCTATTCAGGGCTTGGTCTCTACGCATGAACTTTTTTTTGCTGAGTAGGTATGTCTTGTTGGCTCATTAACGATATTTAGACAAGGTTATTTTACATGTGCGGCTTCACTAAACACTGGCGATATGTTATTGCTAAGATGAATACCCGAGTTTCGCCCATTAGATTTCTGTTTTCGCATATATGATATGAATCATTGTTAACACAACTACTTTCTTGTTTAAGGAAGGAGATAACATGCAAAGACCTATGTTGCATGGTACACTAGTTACGTTTATCGTACTGGATCATTTTATCGAATTATTGAAATCTCTAGTTATTTCCGTGTCTCTTCAATTCGTCTTTTATCCTAAATACGCAATTCTAGATTTGTATATTCCTTCCGACCAAATTTACCAAAGCAACTTTTTTTATCAACTTACAAAGACTTATCAATACAGTATACCTTAATGATATGTCATAAACACACCAACTGGCCTTATGATGTCATATGATTTTTCGATTCACAAACTTATTTCTTATTATTAATGGGTCTTTCTTTACTTCTTGTTTTGAGTAATTATGAAAATAAGCAAATTTGAATACTAAAACAAGTCTATCATACCAGAAGGAATAAATGCATTGAAAATCCATTTTGCAGTAAAGCGGTAAAGTGTTTATGCATTGTTGTTAATCAGTGTTAAATCAGTTGTCCCGACATCCGGCTTTGTTGGCAAAGCAACGACTAGCACACGAACGAATTTCGCAGCGATGTACATGCTTTTGTTTACTCAAAGTGTATACAGTACTTGAGAATATTAGAGTTAAGATATATCCAAACTATATCTTTATGAACAGTTACACAGAAATTACTTTACGCCCACCATCGTAACAACGTTATAGCTTCTACATAAGATTCATCTTTTCACTACCTTTTTCTCTTATTCGTTGGATTGAGTCATCTGAAAAGCGTATTGCACCCTGTGGTGTCTGCTGATCAAATTATGTACTGCTGTGTCACACTGTTCTCGCAAAGAGTGGTTGTCGTTTGACATATTTATTACATTTATGTAGCACATGTACTTTTTACGAACTGGTGATTACAAACTGAAAGTGTCAAAATAAAAAATGGCTGCCTGGCGACCATTTTGTTTCTTATCAGCTTCAAAACGAAACCTTGGGACCTACGAAGTCAACATAAGAAAAATTACCAAGATTTGTCTAGCACTTCTTGAGAAGTTGTGACAACAATAAAGGACACTTTAAATTCAAGATGGCCGTCCGGCTGCCGAAAAATTGGATATACATTACTAAAGGGATCATGGGAAACCTGCATGTAAAATTTGGGAAAGACCTCCCCTGTACTTTCTTCTAACAAGAACGCTAACAAAAAGGGTTCAAGGACGGACGGAAAGACCACGGACCACGGACAATGGACGAATGGTGATTTGAACAGCCTGGTGATGGTTGGCCTAAAAATAGATGGAAATAACTACTTAAAACAAATCGTTTGCTTTAACGAAAATAAAATCGGGATGTTCTCGTTATTCTCTAACGGCATAAGAGTGAGTGGCTTCATTATATTGTGATCAAATATTATACAATCTTGTGCAAACATAAGTTTTGTATCAACTATAAATAGCCTACATGGACTATCCAGTAAAGTGCATGAATTTAAGTCAAGCGTGATATTAGATATACAATGGAGTTGTAAAGAAACGTTGAAAATAGTTGTGTATGCATGCAAATTTCTCATTTATCTGCAACTCAGATAACTTGTATTAAAATAAAAAATTGCGTTGCTACACTAGTATTCAAAGTCTGAACTTTAGCATGCATAGTCAATATGAATATAAAACAGAGTAAGAAAAAAATCATAAAGTGTGCTAGCTCAATGTTCAAAGTGCAATGTCTCTATAAAACATAACTAATACTAGTAATAATTGCTAATGTCATTTGTGCCGGTATTCATGAAACTGTTTTCATGCTCAAGCATGGATTTTGTACTCAAGCTTAATTTCTTGTTCCGGTTACAAATTGTTGAAGAGAAGAGACTTAAAGCCGAATTCTGTTTCCAGTGTTAACAATTGCCTTTTTGATTGTTTGACATGATTTAAGTGAGTTACAAGAAAACTCGTTAGAGATTAGAATATATGCTTGAGCATGAGAAAGGTTTCATGAATACGAGCCGAGAACTCGGTAGGGCCATATAAGGCAATGCAGTAGAGTGGTATAAGATATTAATAGTGGTATGTATACATATATAAGTCTGTTCATCGTACTTTCCTATGTATATCCTGCGGGTAATAGGTTTCTTAACATATGGAATGGGTTTTTTTCTTTTCATAAATGTGTAAAATAATTCTAAGTATATGTTTAATAAGTATTTCCCTGTTTGCACATGTGTTCCAAATAAATAAATAAAAAATAATATTTACATTGATCAATCAGAAATCCATTTAAAAAATGGTACTTCAAGCACAATACGTATTTCGAGCACGATAAGGCGGTACACAGGAAATAACGTTGTTAAAGTGTGTAAATATATATATGTATGTATAAATAATAATAAAAAAGGATTAAAAGTCCATGTGAAGTAAATGAATAAAGATAAAATTAGATCTAACGACCGACTACAAAGCAGCTATTTCATCCTTCACATGGCTCTTCAGGTTTCTCCCAAACCTAAGCCTGTCCCCATCATACAGTAAAACATACTCGTTTTGACAGAGTTATCAGACATCTTGTTATATTACAAAATCGAAATATGTAACCATGTATGAATGCTATACATGTTTGCTTGCTATTTAATGTAAATAAAAACCTGTTTTATGAAATATATATAAAAAAAAGGTTTGTTATTATTAATAGATACAAAATGATAACTGGAATTTACACGGTATAGAATTGCAATAAATTACCTCTAGAAGTCCTATGAACTTAATTTTAACTCTTGAATTGTCATTAAATAGAAAATAAAACCTTGTAATCGTTCATTCAAAACGTTATGGTTTGTGAAATTACAATACATTAAGAATAAAATGAAATATTAGCATGCTGATGTAAAATCCTTTTATTCTTTTTGTCGTAATATGGTTCCGCGTGTCAATACAATTGAAAACGTGATAAGTATACGTTACATGTATCGTTGTCTGCAAGGATGTCCGGGTAGGCCACCGCTATGGCAATATCAGCTATGGTGATGAATATCAAAGTCAATGTGGTGAGAGCTAAGCCTGTCCCCATTCTACAGTAGAACATACTCCTATTGGCAGTGTTTTCAGACATCTTGGTAGATTACAAAATTTAAATCTACAAACGCAAAATGAAAATTTAAAAAAGAAAAAGAGTCAAACAGGCACAAGAGTTATCCACAAGCGTGTTCGAAGAATATCACAGATTTGAGATCCTTGTTTTAAGCCGTTCAGAATATGCTGAATAGAGCAATTGTTTGCTGTTCGGTTAGACTGAAACAATCCAATGATATTCCCAGTTGGAAAACAGCCAGGTATGCTAGGTACACGTCTTAAATGGATTCAATAGCTCCACAATTTCACTAAAGAATTATGTCGATCAAAAGTTGTTTAGAAACCTGAAATTTGTTTTGCTTTTGGTAAAATACGCTACACGCACGATACAAATAAACGATATGTACTGTAAGTCAAGTGATTGGAATAGCGTCATGTCAATTCAGGAAATGCAAACTTTCTACAGGAAATAATATAGGACTTCCACCTTGTGACTTTTAGTTTATTCTCTCATACACATGTACTTAGTAATCCATATTCAGAATAGAAGAAACAAATATTCGGGTTTTTTAATATTACAAGACAGGGCACAATGTGGATCATATGTTAAAGGTTAATTGTACATGTATTACATAATGTATTTTCATAATATATACATGAGCATGTGCACAAGTCAGTTAAGTTTAAATTGAATAGTCAATTTTTAGTTTCCCTGTCTAGTTATCTAGTAATTAGGACTGACAAAACAGACATACTAGGCGAGAACGTGAGCCAACACCGCTTTAGCAATAGTTTAATTACTGAAGTTAAAGAAGGATTGTAATGGTCAATTAACATAGTCTGTCTCACTTAACTCTGTTGAAATGAGTATTATATTCTTCAGCGGTTGCTTCCGTGCACAGGAAGAGAAGTTCTATCTAAACCGGAATACTGATATCTACATCAGCAATGAAGTCGCATCCGTCTACAAGAAATGGCAAAACATGACACATACCCAACACAACCCCGCCACCACTTAAGGTGTGTGCTCCTTATACCTTTATATATATGTAAACATTGTGCTTCAAGTCTCTGATACCTGGGATGTTGTGATGGTGGTACGTTACGTGTACACATGGAAATGTATTCATCTATGTTTTCAGCCTCGACCCAACCACTATTGGACTACATGTATAAGATAGCCGTCCCACAAAGGCGTTCGCGTGTAAGTATATCTTATTCTGCTTCATCAACGGCACCTGCAATGTAGATTAAGGTTAAAACCTGGAAATTACACGCCCTCAAATTGTGAACCTGGATATCAACAACGAAACCACGAGTTCCTTTTCTCAATTCCGTACTCTTTAGTATATCTGAATATTTTGTTTATGTCAACAGTCAACGTCGATCTAAGTTTCCAGGCTTAGCCCTACATCAGGGATTGTTCCCTGTAGGACAAAGACATTCAGTTTGTTTTGTCTTATTAGTAACATAATAACTCTGTGTGATTAGTAGCATCACAACTCTAGTTGTTGTTTCATATATACACTGTACATGTAATTAATAGTATTTGCGTATCTCTGCTCCTTTTCAACAGTAGATTAGAGCGATTTGGATTTATACCTTAATCATTTGCCCCGAGCATCATCTGTCAGTCCTAGATGAAAGGGAACAGCTGTATAATGCAGTGTAATTCAATTTTGCGAACTGCATCTATTACCAAATTTTGTATATGTGCAGTCACGGTGTTTGTACGTCTTACATTCCTCGTAATCCCAGAGGTATGCTCTAACCTTGATGGTCATAGTTATCTACTGTTGAGTAGTGGCGCGATTCATAATATACCCACAGCATTAATTATTTAACTTGAAACTTACCAGTACTCCTCTATTGTTTGAAACGTGTTTAAGTCATTACGCACTCCACCTCCTATTTCCATATTAGTTAAAACCCATTTAGATGTCCACCTATTTGGTCCCTATCGTATCCGATGAGCCCTAGAAGGACAAAATAGCTTTATAATACAGTGCAATTCATTTTTTGGCGCACAGAATCTATTTCTAAATTTTACAAGTGCAATATCTTGAGTTATTATGTCATCTTTTTATATAATGATGGCATTGCTGTAAATGGCTGCCCAATTATCGAAATATAATGCGTTTTAAGCTAAAAGCAACCTTAACGCGTGTTACGTCACAATCACGGAAAGTCACGTGATATGTTAAGGTATTTTATATATCTTCCTTCTGGCTTAATATATAATCCTGTTATTTCACTTGTATTTATGTAATAAGAACATGTAATACATACGAAGAAATCAGAACATCAGATCTCCTCCGCTTTATACTCGTCTTTTCGTATGAACAGTATGCTATCATTACACACTAGGACGTGTGATTACCAAACATCCACAGTTATTGAACAACGAAAAGATCCGTTAGACACGTATAAACTAATTGGGTATATTCTATATTTAAGATTGATATACAAATATATAATTGCGGTCCTGTATACCTATGAATGGAAACTTGCACTCCTATGCTCAAATCCTTATATGATCAGTGTATATATATTGTCCGTTAAGCTAAATAATACCATGATGATAATTCACTCTCATAACAGACGGAATTAAGCTTTAACTGTGACGAACATTTCCCGGTTTACATATAGCTCATACCATTAAATAACTTGCCTTTTAACTTAAATTCTTTTTTTTTTATAATACCCTCTTAATAGATACTTAGTATACGAAAAGAAACAAAATGCTTGTAATGAATAATGCCATACGTATTTAGATTAGAGGATATAACTTTTTTCTTATTTTATTTTCAGTAATTATCAATGGAAAACGAATGTCCCATCCCAAGTGATGACGGTGATGACAAGTATGAGTTTGATTGCTTTCCAGTACTTACAGTTGCGACTGCAATTAACGACTCACAAACATGGTGTGGAAGAGAAGAAATTTTCGCGGGGTTTTTATGCAAATATGATATTGACCTGGAAGACAATGACGTCATGGATGACGAAGAACAATGTGACCTTTCCCCTACTTTATGTACCAGGAATCACTGGATTCCATACAATGGTGGCAGACGTACGTTTTGGGTAACTGATCACGTGGCTGGAGACGGGAACTGCTTCTTCCGGTCATTAAGTAAAGCAGTAACAGGTGTTGATCGATTCCATCCCACGTTACGTTACGTCGTTGTAGATCACATGCGTGGTCACAGACATCTCTACCAATGCTTGATAGACGGCGATATTGACGCACATATCGAACATATGGGAGATACAAAAGGGGGCGTGTTTTCCTGGGCAACAGAAGCGGAAGTCAAAGCTTCAGCGGATCTTCTAGGGTGTGACATTTATATTCAACAGCAAGTTGGGCGTAAAATATGTTGGTGCCTGTATAAATCGGATGAACAGTTTAAGCTATTTGAACATTATTTTCTCACTATCATTTATGAAAGGCACCATTTTGACCTCGGCAGAATGGTAAACCATGGGTGTAACTGTCTGTTGACTAGAGAAGATGTACAGAACTGGGAAGCTGACGTTTGTGAAACACCGGAGTTTAGCTGCAATCATAATCAACTTGTATGTTGGAATAAACACAACAGGAATCTCAAATGTGCATGGAATGAAATATTGGAAAACGACGACGCCATTACGTTGTACTTGACAATTACATTACACTTACCAACGTCTATGATGTCACTTCCTGTGTCCGATATTTATCTACTTCACTACAAAGGTCAGGTATATATACAAGATATGGTGCATGCGCAGACATGGGGCACAATATTATTGGCAGGAAATGCGATTTCGAATGAATCGGAAAACAATGCCTCACTGAGCCAGGAAAATTTGGATGTATGTAAGAGATATCACCGATCAGTAACAATAAAGCTTCCATCAAGTGTTAAATGTATGTACAGAGTATTTCAGCATTTGTGGCATGCTGTATCGACAAAATGTCAAATAGAACTGTTTCATGTAATGCAAGAAAGCGCAAATATGTATAGAGGGTATATATTAGCGATACATTTGGAGGATCTTTTCAGTATTTGAACGTGGGTTCATGGAGCGACATTGACATGCAATATAGCGTGTTGTTCGGCTGCATATGGTTAAGAGATGACCTCGACTCTAGTTGTATTGACATCCTTACGGAAAACGAAAGAGACTTCCTAGAATGGGAGAAAACATTCGCCCGACAGCTGCTATATATTGGTGCAGTACCCATTTTTTGTTCATTACATATCATTTCGACGAAAAACTAGTTAAAATGTGCACAGAACTCTCTTCTGCTTCATCAACGGCACCCGCAATGTAGATTAAGGTTAAAACCTAGAAATTACACGCCCTCAAATTGTGAACCTGGATATCAACAACGAAACCACGAGTTTCTTTTCTCACTTCCGTACTCTTTAGAAGTCGGGTTGTGTTTGCCAACAGGACGTCAAAAAAAGGGGAATTCATTTGGACAACTTGGTACCCTCTAATCTAGCAGGCTCGACAATATATCACGACTTCACTTCGAATCGGTCCAATTGAGAAAATATTGGAGGACATAAACTGATCATTGATTAAATTATGTTTTGCTGACCTTAAAGACATGTGCTGTACGTGTTTAAAATATATATATATAAAGTTTGACATTTGACACTGCATCAAAATCTTTCTTGTTTTTTAATTTGAACTACAAAGCCACAGTAAGCGTTTGAACAAGTATTTGTGTTATAATCAGTTGGTAAAATATTCTTCATTAAAGTCTTGCATCATATATTTGTCTCGCACTTAGCCCTGCAAGACCCGATACGTTAAAGAAATGGGAAACTCTTGTGTATTGGCAGCTGACTCAAACCTTTAACCTTGTAGACAAAAGTACAATGTATGTCACTTTTGTTTATAGTGCATGTTGCTATTCTGAATATATACAATAGGACGAGGAACAGAGATTAAGATAGTGCCGTCGCTGGGGCTCGAATCCGCGACCATTGGCTCTCCAGGCCGATGCTCTACCGTTGAGCTAAAAGGAAATTCCCTACAGCCGACGCTGAGGCAACCTAATTAATCCACATCTTTTACATATGTTAAATATTGCCTGGAGAAAGGATGAAGGAATATCAGAATGAACATGCCTTAACCCGATTTGTAGTTATTATTATCCTCCTCTATACGTTATGATATTCAATATATTACCACGATTTATGTTCTTCAAGAACTTGTTACGTAAATAGTGATTAATATACATAACAGCTGCGAAAAACAACATACATTGTACAAGTGCACAGTCGAGAAAGCAACGATTAACATAACAAAGAGTAAGGTGTATGTACTTCATCATATTTATTGTCATTAAACATCTGTTTTGTTCCTTACAAACAAGAGGAAGGGTCAGATATTAAAACCTACACTGAATATGATCCATTATGAATAAACAACAAACCGCCTTTCATACTGGATTTACAGTGGACGCAAATTACAAGCAGTACATGAAATATGTTTAAAACATTCGTACACTATTTCTGGAAATATGCTGTTGTATGTTAATTGGTTGTATTCTACGTAATATTTATACTTTTTAGCTTTCAATTTAAATTTGACGTCTTTTCCTTCAAGAATAGCGTTATACAGACGGAAACACTCACTGGATCATTTTGGAAAGATTTCAGAAAAGAAAATATCTTACTGGTCTTCGTATTATTATGAATCTTGCATTTTATTCGTAGATCATCTTACAACTATTCATATAGGGAACACACAACATTTCATACAACAATAAATAATAATAAAGGGAAATTAAAAATATTTAATTGAATGTTTCTTTAAAAATCAATGCAAAACAAACGCACTTTTAAAATCGAGGCAATTCGTGGACAATAATTGAAATGTTGAGTTAAAATCAATTTAATTACAAGTTTTGTTCAATCAACGTCATACGTTACCCTGCATGTTTCATGCAACACGAGAATTATTACCCAATGGACTCCATGATTAGTATTCAATGCAACTACTAAATATCGAGATTTAAATGAAGTCTTCTTTTCGCTAGAATTGTAATCAATGTCAATCATTTTATACCATTTATTTTTATTTTGTTCAGTCACGAGTTCTACTAATGACTTTACATTTGGTTTTAGTCCAAATATGGTGCTTTGCTATAAAATGAAAGAAAATCTTTAAAGAAATTAATTCAACCTAGTATTCATGAAAATTCTCATGCAGATGCATGATTTAATGATCCAACCAACTTTCATGTAACTTACTTGAATCATGTAATACGATCTAGAATTCAGTTGTAATTATTGAAAACAGTTTTTGGCTTTAGGTCTCCAGAAAGCCCCATATCATTAACTACTGTGTGGGATTGTTTGTTGATTTCGCACGAGAACAAGAAATTAGGCTTGAGCACAGAATCCGAGTTTTGGCATGAGAATATTTTCATGAATATAGGTCCTTAATTTGATTGTTATATTGGTGAGGTAAACAAGTAATACATGTGTCAAATTACGAATTGGCCATAACATTACTCTGTACTACATCAGTATAGCACATTGAAAGTATTCCAATTAATTGCCTGAAAACAACCTGCATGAAGATGATGACTGATGAAAACGGTGACATTCCTAAAACGACAGTTCATGATGTCAATTAACTCAGTGATTTGAAAATAAACAAAATGTTATCTTAAATCCATGACGGTCGAGTCCATATTGGTGAAACAGCCTTTCAATGATTGAAAGTGTATATGATGATTCCATGGCAATGGTCAGAGACGAATGGAGATAAAGATATTAACAAGTTCACATGCAATGAGTTTCCAGAAAATTATCATCTCCATCATGTATCGGCTATTGCCACCAACCGCTCTTGGATTTGTTGTTTCAATGTAGATTATATCCTTAAATTGTTCACGATTCTTTGGATTGCTTTATTGAACATGTTGATAGACGCCTTTAATTAGTTAATCTACACTTCTTCTCTTTATACCGTCACTGGCAGAATAATAAAATAGTCATCAATTTTCAGCATACGAGTATCGTCCAAGAATACAAAATCTGTATAACGTGTCGGCATCCTCACACATCTCAATATCAAGCTTAAAAGATATCAGCATCATCGGGGGCGTCCAAGTCTCTGTATTCTATGATTCCTCTTGGGTCAGATCTGCGACTGGAAAAATTACCAAAACATTTAACGTTTTAAAAGCTATGTACGTAACGGACCGCAGTGTAGATTATGGAAGTGTTCAGGTTTGTCCTCTTATACTGTTATCAAAATAAAATAAAAAGTAAGGTTGCGTTTGACAAAACAAGGAAGTTCTATCAAGTAATTGGGATGTTGAAAATGTACTGCTAACTTGAATGCTATGCAACAGGTAGATCTACACAGGAACCAGAGTTACTGAAAACGCAGTCGGGTCTCATTGTTAAAATTATGCAATGTGCATATATTTGCAAAAATCGACTAATGACTCCTAACAATGACTGTTTACAACAGGAGAAACGTAACAGAAGACAACTGGCTGGTAGCGCTAAACTATCGAAATTTAACATCCAAAGGAAACAGTTTTCGAGAACGTCACGTCCCATTTCAAGCCAAAACGCAAGCATTTCAGCGTTTTACAATAAGTAATAATCACGTGTGTATTATCTTGCCTGTTGTTCAAAATCTTTCAAAAATCGTGAAAATGAAGATGATAGCCATTCATTAACCATTAAATACCTACTTGTCGATATCGTCCATTCAAACTTGAAACATTAATGGGAAAATCGTGTTTTTAAATAACAAAACTGTCCTATGTTTAAAAGCTTTTTGCAAGAGCTCGAAACCAGACTTTTTGTCCTTCATTTAATTGATTTTGGGAAGACTCAGTTGCTACGATAGTATGTGAATGTGGCAACTTGGAATTCGAGGTGCATAATAAAGTAATCAACATATTGAAGTTTTCGGAAAATGTTGGTAGCGAGTTTAAAGTTTTACATCTTTCAAATTGGCCTTTTGACAAAACACGCTTGGAATTTAAAGAAGTAGTACACAACGCATTTCCAAAGACTAAGGGCGCTTATTAGAGACCTTCGTTATACAAACAGAACATGTAACCTAACAAACTCAACACAAGGCTTATAAATAGCACCTTATAAACATTCATTCATCTTTCAAACGCTTTTAAATGGGGAAAAAAATCGCTTAATTTGAAAAGCATTTGCTTGGATGGATTTTGTAAAAGTTTGCTGGTATAATCTTATATTAAAGACTTGCTATCTTGTATTGATTGGACAATTATCCAATTACCTAAGTCGTCTTCCCTAATTTACATTCAAATGGAAATTGGTTGGATCTGCTAATGTAATTCCACAAGCACAGTACATTTTCTCAAATGATAAGGGATGCAATTTTCGCTCAAATTTTGATTGAATAGGCTCAGCGTTTTTTCCCTCAAAAATGACTGGACAAAATACATTAAATGAACGGGCTGGGTTTTGTTTGGTTTACTCAACTGTTCATTGTTCCACTTCCCTCTATTTGAACTTGATCTGGAATAAAAGTTACAATCAGAACACATCTATCTATACAAGTATTTCTGCTCTCTTAAAATTGTATATATTTGAAATAAATTTATTTTTCTTCCAACTTCAACTATAAGAGCTTTCGTCTTACAAAGTCCATGAATTTGCACAAATTTATCTATGAATATTTTATTTTCAAAATCACTCTTTTATCTTAGATATCATGAACTAAATCATCAGCTTATAATTATTCTGGCAGTTGAGGAAACGGTAAATCAGGATTGCTACAAGAAATGATGAACACTAAAAGCACAAAATGAAAGTGATATCAAGCGACTGATATTTTTTCAGTTACTCCTTTATACCTCCAAAACGTTTTGCCTCAACGATATAAAAGCGAATTTTTAATTCATTACGAGTGTGCAATAATGATGTTTGAATAATCTCTTGTCAAATGGTTTGTTGATTAGTTGAACGGCAAATATTAGAAACAACTTAATAAACTCTGAAAAAATACCTGTGTAAGTGTCATTTATTAACAGAAACGTCATAAAAATGTGCTCTGGTGCAAAATTTTACATCTTAAAAATGTAGAGACGAAATAGATTTTTCATTTATTCATATCAGTGCGTATAATCTCGCTCTTGCAATTTTCTTGCCGTCAACAAAATTGTTAACTACAGCACACCTTCATCTTACAGTTAAACTCCGAAATAAATGCCCTTTGTTTACCACAAGCATAATTCAAGGTCCCATTTTCTTGACAATTGCTCTCCCTCAAAATGTTGCCAAACCTTTAATGTTGCCAAAGTTTGGCTGGACAAGCGGTGATTGTTTAACAAGGATTTTAATCGCCAAATGGTGGCAGTATCACAATGTTTACTATCTTCAAATTTGACGTATCTTACTTGATTGTGAATCTGTTAGCATTTCACCAAAACAAACGTTCTTGTTATATATTTACTGTTTGGTTTCTTGTTAACAAAATATAATCATTCTATTAATTTCACAATTCTTCCATAAAAAGAGTCATCCCATAAAAATTGTAAAGAAATTATATTTTAAAATATATCCTCTTTACTGCATGCAGTATGGTTAGTGAAAATAAACGTGATGAAATTGAATTATATTGTGTAAGTTGTCGTACAATGAAACGTTCTTATATTCAATCTGAAATCAAATTGATGTTGATGCCTGTTCACAAATAGTCATACGATAACAATATTATTGACAACATTGTCTACTGTGACATGTCGTAAACAGGACCTATTGTCGGCCAAAGGTATCAGAATAAAACAATGTTAAATTGTGAAAACTATTAAACATTGTACAAGGAATATTTATATCGCTGCATTTCTCAGTGTCTCGGCAGCATTACATGTCCTGAATGATGATATAGTTGACCGACTGTTAACACGTACACAGGAACAACAGAGTCACGACATATACAACAGTATAGCATACAGGATTAGGACACTTCATTCTTGCTATATGGGAAGCAGAAATGGCAGCAGTGTAAAGAATATATCAAAGCAAGTTATGGAAAAATTCTATCTCGACTTTCCGTATGGTGATGAAATAATTTTCTGCAAAAATATCTTGAAGTCGTGTCAAAGTAAATGTCTGTGGCGTATTTTTTGAAAAGTAAAATTCAAATGAATTTACAATAATGGTATATGATTAGTGTTTCTACAAAAATGTCGTCACATGTTTTGTTATTCTTCTATTCAATTGATATTCATATTCATCAGTATGTTACGATTAAATTTGCTTACAGCATTCCAGAAACTCAAGCTAATAACATGTATACACACGTGACAAGATTGCTATGTTGTCATACAGGTAGTCGTAACAGTTTTCTCCTCCAACCCTCGTCATTTTCAGTAATACGTACATTGTAACACTGATGTGTATATTTGATCAAAGAAACCCATAAAGTGTAAATACTCGTTTATTACATCAAAATATAGAAAACAATATAAAGAAAAAGATGTAGGATTACAGGTACTTGTTTTAGAACGCTATGATATGACTATTCTGATCCTTTCTTCTGTTATCCCTCTACCTCATATCAGCCAAGGGACTGAATCTGTGTTCATTAACATGGTAATCCTCGTCGTGATGTAAGATACAGGGAGGTTCTGTTTGAACGCATTGTAAGCAAGATGCGAGATAAGGAAATTCCTGTAAGGGTGAATACAGGAGAGTTCTGTTCTAAAGCATGGTGACCATCACTGCGATATCATATACGTGAAAGTTCCAATGAACCGTATGGTGGAACTATCACTGTTATACAGAATACTGGAGAGACATGTGGTAGTGTGTGGTATCCAACACTGGATGGTACCAGAAGTTTTCATTTATCTTGTACTAAGTGTTTGTAAGCTTTAGAATGAATGGAATAACAGAAATAAATTCTCTTACATCAGAATAAATCAGCTGCTTATTTTTCAAACTTGTGGGCTGAAGTTTTGATCTTAATTCTGTTTTGATAGTCTGTACCAGCTAATGTGATACACTCGACAGCTTGATTCCTTCAATATCATTTGCCATGTTATCTTAAATCTTTCATTTTCTTCATTTTGATAATAAGATGCTTGAATTCCGCTAATCAAAATGTTCCATTATGAAGTTTATATAATGAGTAAAGTGTGCCTACATGATTATTATATAGGTATTATATTTCTTGAATTAATTCCTGAGAAGGTCAGTATATATAGATACATGTATGTGATCAGTCTAAGACCTCTAACACACCTCCAAACTCAAAGAGGCATTATAACTCATTCACTCCTGAAGACACATTTGACCTATTCCAATTCATTGGTTGGATTAGTTTATTATGAAATTTCAGGGGTGACAGAGTTAAAGCTAGATTTTGATGAACAGAAGATGGCTTGGCTGATCATGAGAAATGTGATGAAATCTTAGACATGATTGTGATATTTCATGTACCTGCAGGCGTTGAAATTTCTTTCCTACTTTTCGTCAGCTAAAACTCTTAAATCAGGATTTTCAGATATTGTTTACCTTAACTGAAGTACAAAAAGAAATTTGTCATTTCTGAGCATAAATTATGCATTCAAGAATAACAAGTCTGCCGCCTTCCTACTGCTCTCAGACAGCAATGCTTTCGGTGCTCATGCATACACTTTGGGCGTACAGTGCTATAGTATAATGACTGTCAAAAGGATATACAGTTGAAATGTGTTAAGAGTAATCTGCAAACCATTGACATCATAAGATATCAGAGAGGGACCCTGATAATTTGGCTTTATACAATATGTAGTGTTTAATTTGGTTAATTTTGACCAACAAAGGTAATTAATTCCAAAACAGATATTTCAGATTTTAAAGTTAGCCAATACATATCAGAGCTGCAGGTACAAAGAGGAGTAGAAGTGAAAGCCGACTTCGGTTGTTTCCTGTTGGCCAATGTTCTGTTTTGAATTGATAAGTGGTTCCCAAACTGTTATTAATAAAGCTGACATTCAATTTGAAGGTTAACAAATTCAACAATGATTCATGGTAAAAGCAATTTAACAAATTTCAACTGTATTATCGTAAAGTGAAGTTAGTGCTAGCTAGTAGCAAGGATGACACATCAAAAACACAAACTCAGACCACCTTCTCAATTAATAAGAACATGAAATTTTGCAGCAAGATTGCTATATCTTTACAATTACAGTTGTTTTCATTGATAAACCTTCCAAATTGTTTTCCAAATTTTTCATCAATTATCAAGAGTGAAAATTTTTGCTACTTGTCATATAATTTCAAGATGAATTTCATTTTTTGAAGGTGTTCTTCCAAAGCACAAAATGTACTATTTATCTTTATTATACCAAATACCAGTGAAATCTGAATGTTTGTATTTTTAAAGCCCATTTTTTTCTGTGTGCATATGCATCAAATCCTCATTTCCAAAATTTAAAGCAGCTTAATTTTTCTTCAGCTTATGTATACTTTAACTTATAATCGGGGACATTCTCCAAAATATTTTTCTTGATTTTTTTTTGTGAAATTTTCCGTTCAGAATACTTAAATAAGAAAGATAACAGATGATGTCTTCATAAAGGGAAAGATCAAAATAAACTTATTGGTTGTTTTCAGCTATAAAACAAGATTTGTATTGAAATTTTTGCTTCAATGCTGATAGAAAATATGGGAGAAAGAGACAAATTTTCTTTTTAGTTTAACATGCGTGGATATTTCTGCTTTAAATTTCTTGATGAGAAAAAAATACAGAGAAAAACAACAAAACATTGCTTTCATTCAGACAAGACGAACAGTTTCAACAGTCCAGCAAGATTCTCGTATGAGGTATAATAAAAGTAAATAATACGTGACTACAGAAATATTAGTGGAGACAGGCGTTTAATAGGTTAAACGAGGTACACAAGGTCCGATTTGTTTACTGACCGATTAAAATTGTTTTGGTACGGCGATCTCCTGTAGGGGTCGCCTCTGTGCGGTTCACTGCCTCCTCGAGCTCCGTAACTCTGGTTACCATAGGTCTGTTGTGTCTGATTGTTACCTTCAACAGAGAGGATAACATTGAAATTCCTTTACATAATAGCTGCTATCTATATATTCCAGAAGTAATATTATTTCATTAACCGTACATTATAAAACAATTCTCATGAACTCTACAGTAAAATTAATTTTAAGTGTTATTCGATTAACTTATTTAATGCATGATTAGTCATTTTACCTCGAACTTAGATTAATTGAATATGATTTTCTATAATCAATAAAAGGTTTGACTGTAATATGAAAACTTTCAAGAATTATGGAGATTTGGAGATGACTAGAAAATTGATTAATCGTTTTGACTTGTAAGTTTATATTACCAAACCTGAATTCAGACAACATTTCTGCTTACATCTAGGTATTTCAAAAGTATCAACCTCGTTTTACCAATTCTGGTGAATTTCCTTCCCGTCCATGATTGATGACTGATCAATTCATTTATATAAGTGTATTAACACTTGTTTCTGTCTCCAATTCATTTATGTTTAATCATGTTTGTATTATGTATTACATGTGTTATGTGAATAAAACAAAGTTAAAACTAATCATCGATTGTTTGAGAAATAGCGATGATTGATCATGAATTTTGAAAGAGATTCCCAACACTATTACATGTAGCTTGATACATTATCCTCTATATTAATGCACTTTAAGTAGAGATTAAATTTAATTTCATACTTTTTGTAGAAAGATGGATCCTCAAATCCCAAAAGACGTCGTGACATATTTTATCAAGTAAATCTTCCGACTGGTTTTAAAGCAGCTAGCTCAAAACTGCCCATTTTTTTAAAAAAAAAATTGTGTGTTGATAATTAAGTTTTTCCTACCAAACATCATTTGATGACGTGGTTGACCGTATCCCATCATGCCTTGTTGGGGCGGTGCCACGAAGCTAGCTGGTCCGTGACTGCCAAACTGGCTCTGACCACTCGAGCCTGGCACTGACCCCTGGGGTTTGTTACCAGGGTGTTCCGGTAACGAAGGTCGTTTTGGATCCAAGAGATAGTTGTTGAAAAACGTTACCTAAAACGATACATGTTTACAATAGATACAGATGTCCTACATGGGGAAAGCTACAAGATATCTTGCATGCACACATTCAATGAACTATAGCACAACCTTTAAAAACAATACCTTTTTTCAGTACCTTGCCTGCTGCTGTTCTAAAATGTGAGGTCATCTTTATAGGATATTGATATGTCATTCAATAAGCATTTCATCAGCAAAAAATATTTATCACTAAAACAGTCAGCGACTGAAATTGCTTCATGACAATAAAGGATCATTAAACAAGATTGAAACTTTGTAGACTGCATTAGTTTTTATATTTCTGATGTACAGTCTATTTTTTAGCTTTCCAAATACATCCTTGGTTAACTGATACATTATCTAGAAAATCTACAGTAATTTTGACACATTCACAACATCAATCTCAATATTAATCAAATTTACAGTTAAAAAGAGAAAACAAATTGATCAGAATGTTGGAAAAGGGGATCAATAGAATCTCTTACCCCTTGGGAGTGAGATAGGGGAATCTCAACCCGAGGGGGAAGACTCTTATGTTGCCAAACACAAGGCTTTGTTTGCTGAGTGTTAGGCATCTTCAGAATCTTTCCCCCGAGGGTTGAGATTCCCCTATCTCACCCACAAGGGGGTGAATGATTCTTTTTCTCTTACCCTGTTTTCCCAATGTGGGTCATATACACAATGATAACGTTACATGCTAAATTTAGGGTTGACTGGACGTTGATGGATTGTTGACGCGACGTCATTGTATTGTTGAAGTGATGACACACCATTGTTATGAATAGGGGAATCCCCCCACCTCAACCCTAGGAAGAGACAAGGAAATCTCACACCGGTAAAAGTGCGGATACACCTGTCCAGGGCAAGAGAAATGAAAGTCATACACCATGTGTAGAATTCCTATGTCCCTATACATACATATAAATATAAGACTTCTGAACTTTAACATAAAATAAATGGCACTTTGAACTATAAACCCGATAAACTAGACTGCACCAGCTACACACCTCTTTCTTTACTTCCTCAACCTTTTCGGCATGCTTATTGAAAAGATGTTTGCGGACAAATTCTGGACCCTTGAATTTCTTTCCACTCATGGGGCACAGCCACTTGTCCTTGGCTAGCTCCTGGGTGTTTGCTGTGACAAACTTCTCCACTTCAGTGCATACAGTCAAGGATAAAAATAAACTTCAGCAGTTACCAATCAATTTAAGGAACGTTCTGAAAATCTGCACCAACTGGCACGTCTTTGGAATATATGTCAACCTGACATCATATTGGAGAAAAGGTACTAACATCCTTTGAATTTTGAAATGGACAGTTGTGACTTCCAAAAATAACTCACAAATTGATATGGACTCTTTGGCCAGACTAGTAATAAATTGATTCACAATTAACCAACAAATTCAAAGTCCTTGTACTTTGGAAAATAGGTCTTAAATGCGAGTCAAATGTATTAGTCTTGGATATTACTGGAATTATCACAGAATTTTAAATTGTTAACCAAATCTACATTTATTTAAAAATTAAAGGACATCTGTGTTTAGGAAGGTTAAATATTTTGAATGGCCGATGAAGGCTACGTGAAAATGGAATTTTTTTCCAGCATTTTGAAACTTCATTATGAGGCTAGGATATTTTTTATTGATGACAACTTTGTGCCTTGTCCTCCTTATCAGTCACAAAATGATAAAAGAACAATTGTGTGTATTTCCCTCTCGTACAGGCAGAAATCGAGCAGACGGCAATTGTGATTCTCAATTACGTTACCAATATGATGTAACTACAGAAACTAATGAGACGTCTCACTATTTTTTCTATCTGGAGATGTTAGCATAAAACTCCTCCACAAGTTTCAGACAAAACATGGTCTTGAACATTTCTCTGGAAAATAGAACATCAAAGGTGACAAGCATTCGAGAAGAAAAGGTAGTTTTTTTTTTTTTAAAAAGACAGTCACACTAGAATTACAATCAGCATTTCATTTTCTTAATAACACTGCAGTTTCTAATATCCTGTTTACCCCTGGCAGACATTTAGTTAGATTTCTACTGTCAGGCTTGCAAATAGATGTTACAATAACAATATCCGACATGGCATGCAGAACTGATTTTATTTTCTGCTGCAGTCTACAAACCAGTGACTAGTTTGAATAGAACAAGGATATGCTTCTGGGTCTTTCTTCCCGAGCTTAGCTGCCTCTGCCTCGGCTAACAAGTCCTGTGGTTCTGCAAACACTTTGAGTTTCTCTTCAAAACTCTTGGTCCATTCTGCAGCTGATATAGAAAGAATGGTAAATAAATTTGATGAAAACAAGGCAAACGAATCATTCCCAAGATACAAGTTACCAGTAAACTTCCGATGTAAAAGTAAATCAGTAGCAAACTGACTTCTTCGAAGTAAAACATTGGTAAATTTGGACGAAACGACTGAAATTTCTTATTCCTCAAGAAAGGGATATAACCGCATACCACTATTTCTACATATCAATTTGTGCAACTCACAGATTTTTCAGTGCATGTACTTCATTTTTGTCTTTCAATTTTCTACAGTGATAGTTATCTGTTAACATTGGGAACTTTTATGGGAAATACCAGAGGTTCACACGATTTAAATATAATTTGTGCATCTATCATCCTCGATATCCAGGGGTTACTCTCACTTTCGCTTTCTACACCCCTGGAATATGTCATAACAAAATTGAAGGCTCGATGTGTGCCACCTTGTTGATGAGACAAGAAGACTAGTTCGATCCTTTGATGTACATCAAAATAATCTTGTGGTCACGTAACGGTACTAATTGACTGGCTTTTAAGTTGGGCGTCCCTCCTTTGTAATCTTCAAAGGACAGATATCAGCCTAGCGATTGGTTAGTTTGTTTTACCGGAGACCAATCAAACAGCTATCTTCGTGCCTTCAATTTTGCTATGACATATTCCAGGGGTGTAGAGAGTGAAAGTGAGCGTAACCCCAGGATATCGAGGATGTGCATCTATATGATACTCCTAAGACTCGTTTCATAAAATCTCGTATGAAATGAAAACTCATTTAAGATCCTATATATAGTGAATGTATAAAAGTTTCATATAGCACAACCACTGAAGGGTTTATGTGCGACATTTTGATGACTAGTATAGTATATACATACTCCACTCATCTACATTAGACTTGATGAAGGTGACAGAAGTATGCAGTGTTTCTTTGAAATTGAACAACCTGTACTTACTTTCAGCTGCCGATAGTTTATTTAGAGGTGCCGGTCCCCGGGCGTGCATGATCCCACATCGGTGAGGCATCTCATCTTCATTAGGGTATTCGTTAGCACTGTAGTAGTCGATGGAATGCACGACGCGCAGATAAAGGATCATTCTGTCTAAAGCCTGCGTATGTAAAACAGAAAGATATTTACACATTCAGCAGATGTACAAGATCTCTATGTAGATGTAGACTAGATCTAAGATATTCTGTAGATGTTGAATTAGGCTGCCATGACAAGCAAAACTCATTATAATGAATTGGATTTAGTATGTCCATCATTCATGACAAAGAAGAAGTCACAATACCAGATAAATCATTTCATGTATCACATATATGTTTCAGAATAGTTTTTTTCAAAAAATGATTCAGGAAAATACCAGTTATTTTCCCTGATGCAAGTTCTGACAGAGTAACGAAAGCGTTAGAGATTTCCTTTTCTGCATGATATGACATTTTCCATGTATAATGTCAACAACACACAAACAACTTCTGTCTTTTTTTTTACAGTACAAATACTTCAACCAGAATGTTTCCTCCTACCTTGATGACGTTCTCCTCCCTCTCAATGCCAGTCTCTCCTGGTGTTTCCTTCTCGCACTCATCTAATGATTGTCCTACAAAACAGGTCCAAATTATAGCTCTGGTGAAAATCCTGTAGTCTAATTGGTTGAGACAAATTGTTGATTTCACACTGTCACATTTTCTTTTACATTGAGCCAATGGAAGGGTGACAGTGTGTGTGACAGTGCAAAATAGTGGCCACGCAAAGAAGCTATGCGTACGGTTGGTTTCAGCTGCCATGTTGACTTTCGGTGTAATAAAATAAATACTTCATTCAATAGAGTGTGACAGTGCCTAGGGTCACCCCTCGGATATCACGGTCACCAGAGGCGACTCAGGGTGACCTTAGGCACTGTCACCCTCTAATGAATGTAGTATTTATATTTATTACACCTCCAGTGAAAATCCTGTAATCTGATTGGTCGAGACAAATTGTTCATTTCACACAATCACCTTCGCTTTATCATTGAGTTAATGAAAGGGTGCTTCCCAATGCCTTAGCAACGGTTGACAAGATTTGGAGATGTCAAGCTGGTTTATTTGGAAAAACTTTTGAAGGATAAGGACTCTTAAAGCACACAGCGTATCGTCCAACGAACATGTACATAGCAGTTGTGATTGATATGAAAACATGAATGCCCCCGCTTACATTGAATCAAGACGGGATGGGACGCGACAGGACGGGATGGACAGGGCAACACTATATGCCCCCTCGTCACCATTTTATGGCGGGGGCATAAATATGCCCCCTTGTCACCATTTTATGGCGGGGGCATAAAAATGAGGTTTTGGGGGAGTGAAACACAGACACCATCACTGCTACCCTCCACTACCAGATAGTCACAATACATCTCCAGCACACACGCAGGCATACACACAAAGGGAGATATTAGCCAGGTGGCATAGGACTAGTAGTTAGCGCCTAATAAGGCAGCTCCTGCAAATTCCTCAAAAATTGTAAATGCTAACTGTATTAATTGTAAACCTATGTACTGTAAAGCGCTTTAGAGTGGCTTATGTTAGCTAGATAGGGCGCTATGTCAAATGTTGTATATTATGAAGAAGCTGTTCCATGATCCGATCAATTTCATCAATGAAATTGTTATCTAACCACTATGACATTTCGCAGTATTTATAACACCAAATTTATTGTGAAAGCTTGAATAGTTCACTGTTATGTTTGTTGATGAAAATACGATATTTGTTACAAATTTGAAAACTTTTTAAAATTATCGACTTTTGGTATAATAAAATAAATACTACATTCATTAGACTGTGACGGTGCCTAGGCCTAGGGTCACCCCTCTGATATCACGGTCACTTCCCTTGACTCGGGGTGAGTGTAGGCACTGTCACACTTTAATAAATGTAGTATTTATATATTATACAGTTAATTTGCTAGGAACAGTCTTTTTAGATATCTTACAAAATATCATTTAATTGGCAAAGAGATAGGTAGATAAACCATTGATATCAATTTACACCAATACTGCAGTCATTTTTTCTCCACTCAAAGGAGACGGAAATTCCAAAAATATCCATAAATTGCCTTCCAATGGCCTACCACACATATCAGGTAAAGCCTGCCACAGAAAAGATGTACTGGTAACTCACCTAAAAGTTCCTCCTCCTCAAAGCTACCCTCCTCTACCAGATAGTCAGTGATGTTTTTGAGGACAGGGTTCCGCGATATCAGACTGTAGGACTGCTGTAAACAAAATCAAAACAGTATATATTTTACAGTTACCATGTTTATACATGTGCTTTTCACGTTAACTTTTCCAATTTACCAATGTTTCTAGATCTGTGCAAAAACTGTCAAACGTTTTTTTTAAAGTTCCACACTGAATATACATATTTGCTCTATGCCCATTGAGTATTTCATGACGGAGTCAATGGATCTGTAAGCACCATATTGCGAATAATACATGTTGACTAGTTTGGGCGCTGTTTTGGAAACCTGCAAACCCGTGAGGTTTTTGATACAAAGGGAAAAGGAATCATTCTGTAGCATAATGGTAAAAGTGATTTGATTGGGGGGTAGCTCCCCAGTATAAATCAAAGAACCAGTATCAGCCTAGCAAATGGCCACTTATTTGTCACTCCAATTGATATGAGTGATTTTTTTCGAAAGATGTTCAGTACCAAAGTACTAAAAATAACACATTTAAGTCACTTTTGTAAACCAAACAACACAATGTAATCTCCCTTGGACCACTACATTTTTCTGCGGGAAGATTTGTCTCCCTTACCTCTTTTGATTTATCTCCTTTCTCCCCCTCAGGGTCATCCCAGATGCACCACTTCTTGTCGAGGTTGTGGATGACCTTGGCTGCGATTTTGATATCTCCCTTGACGATCTGTTTGTGGGCTGTCAGTCCATTGATAGGTCGTACACGCTGTTTCAGTTCACGATTTAATGTCGCTCCCAGCTCACAGTCCCTCAGCTGAAAACAAAAATCATAAAAATATAGGATTCTGTAGATCTTCACAAAATTATATCCTCATCAACAACATTTTCTCAAACATTTTTTTTTTTATCCACTGAATATTTTTAAAAAGGTCTGAGGTTTTTTTGGGAACAGTCAAAAGACGTTCAATGGCAGGACTCAATACACTTAGTCAAAGATATAATGTGTCAGTCGGACGATGAGGTTTTCAGTTACCATGCTGCCACACATTCAGTGTTCATTTCTTATCAATTATACATTATTAACTTTTACATATATAATACAGGAGAGTTTAGGCATGTAAATTCAACCTAATGAAATAACCAGTTTTGAGCACACACAACTGACTTATTTGCAGGCATTTATCAACATGGACAATCATTTTTATTCCAACGGTTAAAAATATTATAGTACTAAATTACGAGATAAAACTATCTATAAATAATATTTGATGAAAAATTAGTGTCTTTATATAATTTCCCTAAATGTTGAATATTTTGAAATTATTGTAATTATTTTGGTATAATTGACATAGTGCCAACATGGTGTTGAAATAAAGTAACAATTGATATTCAGCAGACAACACAAATGCATTCGTTATGGAAATGGCTCGTTATGCAATCAATACAATGAAAGCAGTGTTCTTACTCTGATGTTATTGAGATTCCAGCAAATTTCTTTGATATTCACATCCCGTTCAAATGTGACCCAGCCCCGCCGGAAGAAGTTCCTTTCTGGTTGAGGGTCTTGGAGGGCAACTCGTATAAACCCTGGATAGCGCTTACACATCTGTAACAAAGAGAATGGTGAAAATAGTAGTATTGTTAGCATCATCCCAGCAAATAGGCTTAACCCTTTCACCACTGTAGACCATAATGGACTCATCCATATCAATGCATGGCCGAGTCTTCTAAAGTTACATAGGGGTGAAAGGGCTAGTAGTAAAACAGCTGCTTAGACAAGTTTGTGTATACAAAGACAGAACTGTTCGTTAAAACGCTGGCTAGCCAGCATGACAATTAGGCTAGTGGTGTGCACAGGAATGGTGCTGAATTACACAATTACACAATTTCTGGGCAGTATATCTGAAATAGCAAAATTGATTACCAACTATCAATTAGTCGGTAATAAATATTAACTAGAATTATGTCAGTCTGACATTTAAGCCGCTCACCACTTTAAATTGAATTGCTTCAGTAAGACGTTGAGCATCAATATCTTCTATAATACCTCAGATATGTGTTCTGTATTCTGCTAATTGAAAATCAGGTCATGTGATGATGATGCCTTTGGGATTTCCAAAATCAATCACCTCTTAAATGATGCCTTAAAAACATTTCTCCCTCTCCTCTTTTTTCACCCTCTTTCGGTGTGACGCATTGTTGTAATTTTCATTAACTAGCATCCTCCAATGATGTGACATGAGCATTTATGTGCAGAATGCCAATCGGTGAATGGATAATAAAGAATAGGTGCATTTTGTGATTGTGAAATGAAGAATTAACAGAATGGGGGAAAAATACATGGAGAAAAGAGACATTGTACTCCTTTTATTTTTATTTATTATTTATTCATATGAATAATAATTATTAATATATGTAGTGACTTTATTTACTGTCATTGAATATACAAAATCTCAAAAATGTTCTTGGAATATATTTGAATTATATTTCTCAATGCGACTTTATATTAATTACTAACGTAAGAGTTATTTCCCTTACACCGGATTGGATAATATTTTGACACAGCGCGAATTCTTGTCAAACAGCAGCGGCAGTTGTGTCATGTTCTTAAATTGTTACACTTTCATAAATAAATACACCAGAAATAGCATGCTGTGTTACAGAAATGTTTGATAAGCATACACAGTTTACATATCGTCTCGTCTCAGAGCCATTAAGCATTACCGTTAACAACCTAAGCACGATATGTCATATTACGTTCCCGTTTGAAACATCAAAATAGAGGTTATACTTCATCACTAATACGGTTTATAAATACATATATTTACTTCTTCCTTCTACAGACAGC